TGCTCCTCAAGCCCGGGGGCGGCGCGGCGCTCTGAGCTGCGCCGCCGGTGTTTCCTCGGGGCTGCCGGAGGAGCCCCGGGCGGCGGGGAGGCCCCGGGGGCCTGAGGCGCTGCCCCCGGCCTGGTTGCAGGCGGAGCGTGCTTTCGCTTGCCTGTTCCTGAGGGCCTTTTCTTTCAGCTTCTTTTTCTTCTTTGGCTGAAGAAGCAAAACCTTCAAAGCTGGTGGAGGATCTGGCCCGTGTTACCCCGTTTTTGTGACTTATAAATTGATGCAGGATAGCTCTGTTTGACACCTCAGGCTGATTTTGTGTTAAGCCACCTTAGGTAGCCTCTTTGTCTTTGTTCTTATCCTGTTAATACTGTCTAGATTTCCAAGCCAGCGCTCGTGTTTGTGTCATAGAGTTGTCTTTAAACAGTCCTTTAATGCTCTAAAAAAGTACAGCTACCTTTTTTAAAAAAAAATAAACCCACAGAAATGTTGGTGCTAGCAGTGCCGTGAATGTTTGTGCAGCTTCATGGTAAGCTAGATAAGGGAACCAATCTCACTGAAGAAATATTGCTCCAATAGCTATGCTAGTAAAAAGAGGGTTGACATCAATTACAAAAGGGAGGGCTGTGAACTGTCATTCGATATGTCATTCGTGAAGAAGTAACTTATACTGCAATTACCCTTTTTTCTAAATCCAGTCTCCATTTTACAGAGTTTCATCTGACATAAAACTCTCACATCTACAGAATCAGGTCAGTAATTAGGCCAACATGTAAGATTTGTCAGTTATAGGACAGTTCCAAATCAATTGTGTTTAACCATGAAATGCACATTTAAAATAATTTTAAAAGTGCTGAAAAAAGCAGGATTACCACAAGTATATAAAAAGGTTTCCATGAAAATCTGCTAGCCATTCCTTATACTGATGTTAAGCAGGCTGATAATTTGCCTTTACATCTTCAGAACATAAGAGAAGTTTTTTAAAAAAATAAGTGGTGGCACAGGACACATTGACTTTAACTTGGACCTAACTAAAGCTACAGTTTTATGTCATTATTTGTTCTTGGTTTGATTTGGTTTGTTTTTTTTTTTCCTACACGGCTCACTCACCTGTCCCTTTGTGTTAGCTCCCATGATTTAGTTATCACGAAGTAAAGTGTAGCATTAAAAAAAGTTGATGATGCTAAGACCTAAATGTGCCACGTTCTACCACTTTGCAGGAACAGTGAGTTAACTAGTTAAATTCACTTGGGCTCTTCAACACTATTGAAATCTTCCAGCCGTTTCTCAACTGTTTTTCCAACTATCCTCTTTCTCCTAGGGTTTATCAGCTGTGAATGATGCCTCTCAGCAGGGAGACAGCCAAGCCACATTTAGATCCTGTCCCTCTGGGAAGCAGGTTTAGTACCAAACTTTGAGTGATCTAAAGTTATTCCATGTCCTCCTTTTCTTTTGAATGAGAGAAACTACCCGCTGTGCTGCTGTAATTGTGTATTATGATATCTCAGTATTTCCGGTACCTTATGTTCTAAGGTTCAGATGTGTTCTGGAAGCTCCTTAAAACTCAGTGGACAGAAGCACACGTTATTTTATTTGCAAGCCGAGCTAAATGACAATTCCCAGGCATACTGAATCTTTTTCCTTTTGTCTTCTTCACAGCTGCTACACTTCCAGCAGCTCAGTATCCTTTACCCATTTTGGGCTGCTAGCAATAAACTAGAATCTGTACTTGCCCACAAAATTCCTGAATTATAAAGTGCCAGGTGATAGGCATAAAGCAAAGGAAGGACTGCGATTACCGAGAGAAAGAGGGCGGCATCCCTCTTTCTACAAATTGCCGGAAGAGTGTTTCTCAAATTGTAGGGCTTACAAAGTTAGTCTGTTCCTTGCTGCTTCTCCTCACCTGAGAGTGTTTTGAAGACTCCCAAATGCTTGTAGGAAGCAAAGTATTCCCTTGCCACAGACATATAATTAGCTATAATGAGTGTAGTTATAAAGCTGGCAGGTAATAGTTTTTATGCTGATTATTTTTTCTCATTAGCATACATATATTTTATTTTTAGAATGATTTTAAGATTATTGTAACTCCTAATAATTTAATGCAATTATGAGTTGGCGTTGTCTTTTTAAGGTTGAGAATAACTGTTTTGCGATATACAAGTGCAGTCTACTATATTAAGTTGTTGTGTACTGTGATGACAATGATAAATGGTGCATCATGAAATATCTTCCAAGCGTCATGTCTCAGTAGCCTGTTGTTTCAGCAGCTGTGAAGTTTTTTTCTCAGGCACTGAGTTAAGGTAGTATATGCCCCAAGTAACTGGCGAAAGGACGAGAGGAAATGGCCTCAAGTTGCACCAGGGGAGGTTTAGATTGGATGTGATGAAAAATTTCTTTACTGAAAGAGTAGTTAAACATTGGACCAGGCTGCCCAGGGAAGTGGTTGAGTCACCATCCCTGGAAGTATTTAAAAGACGGGTAGATGAGGCGCTTAGGGACATGGTTTAGTGGGCATGGTGGTGTTGGGTTGACAGTTGGACTCGATGATCTTGGAGGTCTCTTCCAACCTTAATGATTCTATGATTCTATGTCCAAACAGAAATCGTGTATACGGAAGAACACTTTTAAGATTGTAACTCAAGGTTCATGCAGGCTGCATGGTCACTAGAGGAAAGGACCTATTACCTGTAGAATTCAAGGACACACAGACAAACTTGGTACCCACTGTGCATCTGTGTTGCAATGCACACATAAATTACACTGATCACATATGATTTCATAATAATTGAGGTAATACAATGCATGTGCACAAGGGGCAAATGTAATATACTAGCCCACCTAAAATTCTGTCATACCTAAAATGAGGCCTTTTAACTTAATGTTAATCCTACTTTAAAATAAAACTAAGAACCCCAACTTTAATTACATGGGATCATATTGGGAGCAGCTGTGTTAGCAGCAGAGCTGTCCAGACCCCCAGAGAGGCCTTTGGCCCTCGGGCTGTTGGCAGACGGGGAACACAAGCAGGCAGTGGTGCACCATGGGCGCTAGAGGGGACTGTGAGATATGCTTTGCCAGCGTGGTGTCGGTTATTCATCCGCCTACATGCAGAAGAAGAATGTAGTCTCGGGGCACAAAGATTTAATTATAGGCTGTCTTGTGGTTGTCTTGCAGTTGTAGAACCATTATACCTTATGCCCCAGCATCTTTCCAACCTCTGATCCTACCTTTTTTTCTCCTACATCAAAATGGTTATGAAAATAAGTATTAAGACGGTAAAGTAACTTGTGGAGGACTGTTGATTTGTTGGTTTTGTTGAAATTTTCTTATCAAAATCCCATTGAAGTCTGTTTGCCAACAGCAGCAAGAAAACAGAAGAGAAAAGGATATCAAGTAGGTACATACAGATTTGAAATGCAAGGATGATTTGGATTATGTATGATGTTACTTTTAGTCTAAGAAACATCCTGGGGTCCTGAGGGAATTGGCAGGTGTAGTTGCTGAGCCATTCTGCATCATATCTGAAAAGTCATGGCAGTCAGGCAAAGTCCCCAGTGACTGGAGGAAAGGGAATATCTCACCCAGACCCTGGGAACTACTGACCAGTCAGCCCCACCTCTGTGCCTGGTGAGATCATGGAGCAG